AAAAAAAAAAAAAGCCGACGCTAATTGTCAAAAGTATAAGAGATCCTATTACAAAAATCAAGAAGCCCTTCTGGCTGCTCATGGACTCGCATCAGCTCCTCTTTCTGCTCCAAGGCAGAGAACGGCGATTCATCACCTGGGCTTTGAACCAACCAGGGAGAACAAAAAACACACTTTTATTTCGGGAGAACAAAGTATACACGCTTTTATTTCGGGAGAACAAAGCATACACTTTTATTTCGGGAGAACAAAGTATATACGCTTTTTTTTCGGGAGAACAAAGTATACACATTTATTTCATCAGGGTTTCTTTAAGGAGCAGGCCTCCAAAAAAGTGGAAAAGTATGATACTCCAGAATTCAGTCGCCAGAATCCTCCAACCAAACTGTCCCTGTCCGATCGCCTGTGGGCTGCTCCCTGTTCTCTCCGGCCCACTCCGACAACACAACCATATCCTCTGCCACAGCGGGCTTCTTCAGACTTGTCACCTCGGCATCAACCCTAAACTGCTAATCTAAACCCCGAAAAAACTCAAACAGCCCTAACCCCCAAACCCCTAGAATCCTAAACCCCCAACCCCTAAACAACAAACCGATTTGTGAGCTTGGCAGCTGCCGGCGTGAGCTTCGCAGCTGCCGGGCGTTTGGCTACTTGCTTCGCAGCTGCTGGGCGCTTCGCAGCTGCCGGGCGCTTGGCAGCGAGCTTGGCAGCGGCAGGCTTTTTCATGGCGTCGGGCTTCTTCCTGGCTAATACCTCGGCAGCTGTCCTGGCTGCGCCCGGTAAGACTCCTCGAAACTTAAAGAGGAGGGTGACACGCATATGGCGAGGTTGCAAGAGCCATGACGGCTGCTCCACTTTCAAGCTTTGAGCCTTCAATCAGTCATGCGTTGCCTTTGAGGCTTGGATGAGTCCATGCCTAACCAGGGTTCAGGGTTTAGGGAAGTGCCATTACAGTACGGTTTCAGGCGGCGACTTGGATGCCAGGGTATCACTGTTGACAGAGTTTGGAGGCTCAGATGCGTCTTTCAGGTTTAGTTTAAGGGGGAGGCCTGTTTGGCATACTTCCCGAGGAATTCCGGCAATTAGGCTGAACCTCAAGCTGCCAATGAATCCCCCAAACCCCTCAACCCTAAAGGAGATGGAAGGAATCTCTTCCCCAAGGCCAAAGCCCTACCCTCCGACCCCCGCGAAAGGTTCGGGTCCCTCCCAACAGTGACACCTGAAATTCCGAACCAAAGACGCTGAAAACAGGAGGCCGTGAAGATTAGGGTTTAGGGTTTAGGGTAGGCCCAAGATAATAGCAAAGGCCTAGGCGTCATCTTACATGCTTCCAAATTCTAAACCCTAGGCCGTCTTCAGGCTCGGGACTGCGTCTCCGCATTCTTACGGAGTCGGAGTTGAGTCGCAACACATCACGAAGTGACATAACAAGGAGTTGCCAGACAAATGAAACCCTGAAACCACAAAGCGGACATTTACCAAAACTGAACCCCCACACTGTAGACCTTGAAGCTCTTTCACCTCCAAGACTGCCTAAACCCTGCACCCCACACTTGCTAGAAGGTTTTCGCGCTAACAGCGGTCTCGCTGAGGTTCTGTCAAGGCCGCGGCGAAACCTTTGGGCAGCGGATAAGATTTCAATTTTGCAGCTCAGCATGCAACAGTGTGTGGGGCTTACCTAAACCCCCAAAAGTAGGCAAGACCATGGCCCAAGACCTATAAAAAGGCTATTCTGCTACATACTCTTGGGGTCCAGGCATAGGGTTTGCAAGATTTCGGGCGCTTCGAGAGGTTTCTAGGCGGTAAGGCTTTGAGATTAGGATTTCGGGATAAAACTAAAGGAGTTCATGGTTTAGGATTGAGGGTTTAGGGTTTTAGGATTTATCAGGTTGAGGGACTAAAGCTCAAGATTTTGGATGTCTTAGGTTGTGGTTCGTGGGGTTGAAGGAATTGGATCTAAGGCTCCGAGCCTATGTGAGGCTTGAGCATTCTGGACGTCCTGTCACAGTCGCACGGGGCCTGGTTTTGCAGGCCCTTGGAATAAGGGTTTAGGGTTTAGGGTCTGGGCTCCTTCAAATCTGATTTCATTTTGTGGGTTCTGGTGCAGTATGGGCCCTGGGATTCCAAATCCCTAAACCCAAACCTGAACGCTAAACCTACCAGATGGTTCAGGCTGAGCAGACCCCCTAAACCCTGAAGCTTGTGCCCTACACCCTAAGCCCGAACCCTGAATTGTGCCCAGTTTTCGCGGAAAACAACCCTGGCCGCTCGCGCTCGCTTTTCTGCAGCTGTGTTCAACCAGCGGCTGACACCTACTTTGAGCTCAAATGACTCTGCGCGGCGGCACTGACTGACACATGCTGCAAGCAAAGCTATCACAGGCTCCCGGAAAGCGCCTCAACATAGACTTTTGAAACCAACGTAGGGATACTGCCTTCAGAAGCTTGCGTTTAGGTGCCTTTTCGAGGGGGGGGGCTCATATCAGCCTAAGGCATTGAGTGCGACTGTCAAGCGAATCCTCTCAATGTTTTTCTGGTACACATGCTCGGAAACTTCCCGGACAGTGTCATAGTCTTCGAAAAGAGCCACCGACAGACGAAAGCCAAAGCGCTCAATCAGCTTCTGACGAAGCTCTTCTTGTTTGCTAAAGCTGTCGAGCCCTAAGTGTGTGAAACTATAATCCAGACTCTCGTTGCCACCACGTGCGTGTCCTAGTATAATCTCTTGACAAGCACGGAGCACCTCCTCGAAAGTGAGGAATTGCTGTTTAATGGCTACGAGGTCAGCAGGCCTCTCCTCAGCCTCCAGATCCTCGATCAAGCGAACAATCTCAACGTTTTTCTGGTACACATGCTCGGAAACTTCCCGGACAGTGTCATAGTCTTCGAAAAGAGCCACCGACGGAGGAAAGCCAAAGTGCTCCATCAGTTTCTTACGAAGTATCAGTTTCCAACGAAGTTCTTTTTGTTTGCCTAAGTGGTCGAGCCGTAAGTGTGTGAAACTATGATCCAGACTCTCGTTGCTACCACGTGCGCGTCCTAGTATAATCTCTTGACAAGCACGGAGCACCTCCTCGAAAGTGAGGAATTGCTCTTGAATGGCTATGAGGTCAACATGCTTCTCCTTAGCCACCAGATCTTCGATCCTGACCCTGTCGTTGCAAACAAACCTGATGCCACGATTCCTCCACTCGGGATTTGCTTGTCGAACTTTCTGCGAAATCCCGCGCAGCCCATGCAAGGGTATTCCGCCACCTGCCACCAGGGCAACCAAGGTCTTCCCCGTGAGGTCGCGGACCACCACCTGCAGTTCTTCGGCTTTGGCCGTATCAAATCTACGGCCTCGATTCCTGGGCATGGCGGCTGGATCTGAGGAGCCGAAATGTCGTTCCAGAGCATGCCCGCAATTTCCCTGAGACCTGACACTCACGAATGCAGTTCTGAACTCTAAGGGAAAGCGCACTCTAAGGCTGCAACATTGTACGAATAAGGACAAGCTCCATACTCGATGCCGCCCTCGGCCACGGCTGCAAAGTGCCGTCCACAAACCCTGAACGTCCCCTAAACCCTCAACCCTAAACCCTAAACCCTAAAGCACGTGCATAGGGATGGGTCTGACTTGAGGTCGACCCAAGTACTCTGGAAGTAGTTCGGGATGTGCCCACAGGTATTTGTGAGGCAGTAAGGGTTTCACCTCCGGGCTACCCACAAACACAGCTAAGGTTACCGTAACCAACCCTAAACTCTAAACCCTACACCCTAAACCCCTCTAAACCGTAAATCCTACAGTTCTCTTGTGCCTGAGTCCAGCAAGGCTTTGGGTTCCGTTGAGGTTTCGGATTCAGTCAAGGCCGGAGGTTTCGGGGGCGTGAGCTCAGTGGATAAGTAACTCTAAAACACTAAATCCAAGAGAGGCCCCCATATTGCAGGTTTTAGGTTTGGGGTTTGGGTTTTCGGGTCTTTGGTTTTGGGGTTTAGGGATTACCTGTATCCCCAAAGCCTACGAAATAGTAGGTTATGACCCCTTAATTATAGGGTCTGGCACTTAAACAGTCGGTTTTTGGATGCGCGGGCAGGGTTTTGGTGCCAACAGGAATCCCACGAACCTATCCACAACTGAACTTCCAACCTCAAGAAGCAAGCCATCACAGGACACCGACAAGATATGGTGTTGTAAAAAGCCGACCGAATCCCACACATTGCGCTGTACGGCATAGAATGTCGAAGCCTTGACCGGCCAGCAAAGGAGTAGGCTCTAGGATCTAGACCTGTGCAGCACCCTAAACCCCCCTAAACCCTAAACCCTAAACCCTAAACCCTAACCCCTATAAACCCTAAACCCTGACGAATCCTTAGGCCCCAGCCTCCGTGCCACGGCGAGTGAGACACCGAGGCCTGCTGTATTTGGCCTGCAAGCACCACCAACATAGACTCTTGGATGCCCAAACACCGCTGCATCTCGCAAACTTTTGTTTTCAGCAGGACCTATTCTGAACTTCCACTGCGATCCAAACCCACGGAAGCCACCCTGGGTTCCTTTAGGGGGTTTTGGGGTTAGGGCTCTTTAGCGTTTTAGGGATTAGGTTTTGGGGGTTGGGGAACTACTCCGATATTACAAGTAGCTGCGACAAATCCCGTCTGGCGCCTCCTAGTATCACCCTACAATCTCCCCCTATTTACCTTTGGGCTTTCCAGTGTTGTGCAAGGCTTCCTGACGAGGAAGGCTTTCCTGCTGACCCCCGCCTAAAGATTAGGTCGGATCTATGGTCAGGATGTTGTTCAGGGCTTCGGGACGTTGGGATGCTGGGTCTGATGGTATGGGGGTACACAGCATATAGCAAGCAGGATGAGAGGTTGGAGGCAACGGTTTCCGGGGCACGCACTACAAACATCTACAAATTGGGACTACGCTATTGACAAAAGTGCATACAGCCTCTGTAGACCAAGTCCCCTTTTCAAAAGAACGCTAAACATCAAACTCTCAAATCACCGAACATATTCTGTAGCGGAACCTCTTAAATGCTTGTGATCACCCAACCCCGATCGCCTAATCTTCGGGTCTGAGGGTTGAAAGGACCTCCAGGGCTGCCTTTGGAGTGCTTGGTGTCCCTAAGGCTCCATGCACCTAGAACGTAGAAGTTCCACCTGCAAGTGCCCACTTAGGGTGGAGCATGGAGGGTTTAGGGTCATAGAGCTGAGGCTCCAGTGTAAGTGCAGGGGGAACCAAAGTTTCATGGAACTTCTGGGCTTGTTTTCAACGAGCGCCTGATATGACTTGCGAGATCAAGCTCTCGCACGTGAGGTAACCTAAACCCTAAACCCTGAAACCCTGAACCCCAAACTCAAGCCGTGCAACCAGGCTGGTACTTTACTGGCCGATCTCGGAAGCCCTTCTCTGATGAATGTGCTCGAAAAGGTGTTCAGAGAGCTGCCGTACCGTGGGATACTCATTGAGGCGAGCCGGCCGCAGATCTACCTCGAAGTGCTTGGATAAGGAAGTGCAAAACTCAATCATAAACAAGCTGTCCAATCCTAAGTCCGTCATACTCCCATCCAGACTTCCCACATCCTCGTTCACGTACAAAAGCCTTTGGAACATCTCCTGGCAATCGCGGAGCACCTCTTCGGAAGAAGGGCGCTCTTCGGCAACAGCTGTGAGTTCAACATCGCTCTCCCTGACGAGTACATCCTGGACCTCGTCGTTACTTTCCAGCATCATTCCATTGCAGAGAAACCGGATGCTACGGCTCATCCACGCAGGTTTGGCCTCACGGACTTTTCCAGAAAGGTCTTGCAGCAGAAGGCATCCACCCAGAGTCATCTTAAGAATGATCTTTCCTGCCAGGTCCCGAACCACCAGCTGCTTCTCGGCGCCTGGCTTCCCCGACATGCCCAGAGAGCGCAAGACACAAAGCCTCCCAGAACTCAGCTCTTGAGCAAAAGTGGGCCCAGAACTCAGAACAGAAGTGGGTTGGGCTTAGGGTTTAGGGTTTAGGGTTGAGAGTGTAGGGTTCATGGTTTAAGTAATTCTCGAAATCTTGGTCCCGTTTCATGTCCCCACAATGGTACGGCACGATTGTAAAAAGGACCCTGGAAGGAACCCTAATTTAGCTAGATACCCAAACACAAATGCCAAAAAGTAAGCCTTCGGTTGTTACAATTCTGGACGTTTACCCTGAACAATTCCCCAACCCTAAACCCTAAACCTTCAGCCGTAAACCCTATTCCTAAACCCCAATCATAATCCGTAACTCTGCAAGCCTGGCACCATCCCCCTCTTTGCAACGCATGCAAGAGGCCGCACTGAACCAAGCATATCTCAGTCTCAAACCAAGTTTTCGAAGTCAACTCGCTTGCTACATATATATATATATATGTATGTATCTCATCTATAATATATGTAGAATATGAAGAAATATATGTATATGTAGAACATATGCAGAATATATGTAGAACAGGTGTATCGATATGTCTGTGCTTGTGTGTATATGTATGTATCTATATACCTATGCCCCTAAACACTTATATCTATATCCACGTTCGTATCTCTATCTCGGTCTATGACTATATCTATATCTATGGCGATCATATCTACATATCTATCTCTATATCTGGAACAGGCAGATTATGTGCAAGCATAGGCTGCGCCTGAATCGGACTCCATACCTTGAAAGCAGATCTCTACGTCTATGTCTTGCTTATTTCTAACTATATCTATCTCTAGCTGTCTATGTCCAAACATATGTGGCCTAAACCCTAAACCCTGAACCCTGGCAGAATACGCACAAGGCAAACCTGTGCACAACGTCGTTTATTGCTGTGTGGACTAACTCGCGATCCTCCAGTGGCCCATGGAGAGTTGAGGCCCCTAGGCTCTTGCTCTCAACCCTTAGGGATGAAGCTTTAGATCTTTGGGTTGAAGGTTAGCCCGACATCTTAAGCCCTAAACCATGAGCCCTGAGCCTTAAACCCTAAACCCTAAACCCTGAGCCCTAAATCCTAAACCCTAAGTCCCAGGCCCCTCCTCGAGATGCGTAGCTCATACAGCGTATCTCAACTTCTGCAGGGCTCGAAGTACCTGGTGCTTCCGGTGGCATTGCGGATAGCGCTTTGCCACGGCTTGGGGCGTCGGGTTTAGGGTTCAGGGCTAGAGTGTATGAACAGACATTCCTGTATCCCCAAACCCTCCGAAATAGTGGGTTATGACCCCTTAATTATAGGCTAGGTTTTTGGATTCCCAGCTTGGGCTTCTCAAAGCGTGCCTCTTCGACATGCTCTGGCAACTGCTCCGAATGCCGCGAGACGGTGCTTCTGGGAATCCCCGCTGCCAGGTTTCTGCGATTTTTTGCCTTGGAGCTCTAAACTTAAAACCCTAAACCCTAAACCCTAAACCCTAAACCCTAAAACCCCACAGCCGAAATCTTAAACCCGAAAGCCCAGAACCTTAAACCCTAAACCCTGAAACCTTAAACCCTATTTAGGGTTTAGGGTTTAGGGTTTAGGGTTTAGGGCCACTGCAAGGGTTTGGGGTTTCTTAGAGGTCGACACTTTGGAGCTTTCGGGCGACAGCGGACTTGAGGATCCAAGGCTCAGGGTTCAGTCGTGGGTAGCATGGAGAAACAACTAGGGGTTTAGGGTTTAGAGTTTAGGATGTAAGGTTTAGGGTTCAGGGTTTAGGGTATGAGATAGTAAACTCGGAAATCCCCAGAATCCGTGCTTCAGGAATATACCTCAACATATAGGGGCCTTCATATTCTGATTTAAGGTATATGCCTTTATTGAAGGACATGAGGCCCTCTGGTAACTTGAGTTTATTAGGGTCAAGGTGTGGGCCCTTGGATTGAAGGGTCTTGATCATTGATTTCCAAGCCGCCTGCGGAAAGTGATCACGAGCCGAACAGGAGTTTCCATGGCTCAGTCCTTTTGATTCCGCTGATCTCCAGATGCCTTTTGGGGCTGTTCTTGTGCATGTCGTGGAGAAAGCGCATCTATCGACCACCCAGTTCGCAATAGCTGACAGCACTTCTGTAGAGTATCAAGTTGGGAGTAAGTTTAGCACCCAACATGTCGTAAAAGAGCTGGAAGGACAGCTGCCATTGGCTTCCTTCCTCGCAAGAGTTGATCGCCGCACTGTAGCTGATGACGTTGGGCGTGAGCTTCGCTTTTGGCATGGAGCTGAACAATCCCAATGCGTGCTGCCACTGCTGGCCTTTCTCGCAAGAGCTGATGGTAGCGTTGTAGCTAATTTCAGTCGGAGTCAGCTTGGCTTTGGGTATCACACTGAAGAGGTGCAGTGCCATCTGCCACTGCTCGCCTTTTTCGCAAGCACTTATGCTGGCACTGTAGCTGACGATGTTGGGTAGAAGTTTCGCTGCGGGCATGTGGCTCAGCATATGCACTGCTACCTGCCACTGCGCACCTTTCTCACAGGAACTGATGGCAGCACTGTAGCTGATAACATCAGGGCTGAGGCGCGCCTTCTGAATAGATCCGAAGATATGTAAAGCTGACTGCCACTGGCCACCTTTCTCGTTGGAGTTTAGGTTCGCTCATAGCAGTATCAACAAAACTATGATAGTAATAAACATAATCATATGAGAATAACAGTCACAATAATAACAATGAAAGTAACCAGAATATTTGGTCCAAAAAATCAAAGTACCGGCAATTGGGGGGGAGGGTTAGGGCCAACGCTTCACGGCCTTTCTCACAAGAGCTGATCGCTGCGCTGTGGCTGATGATGTCAGGAATGAGATTGCCAGAATGCATAGAGTCGAACAGCTGCAATGCCGCTTGCCACTGCCCGGCCTTCTCGACGCGACACCAACCAAGTTCCCTAAACCCTAAACCCCTAAACCCTACACCCTAAACCCATGGAGCCGACTGAACGGTGCGCAGGTTGCAGGTTTTCAAGCAGAGTTGCAGATGCCGAAGATTGGATCGTCTTGCAGGTCGCCGGGCTGTATATCCCTACCCCAAAATAGTATTACCTATACCATTTTGGGGGGGTTCCATCCTAAGGAACCCCCTAAAATGGTATAGGTAATACTACTATAATAATATTGTATCGTATAATGGGCCAGCTCCCAGTCGACGGTTTCGAAAGTCCCAGATTTGACACGCCATGCAAATGCCAAGAGTCATCCAACTTTCACAACAATTCCACGACCCGGCCTTTTCGCAGGAGCTGAGGGCGGCATTGTAGCCTGAGGTGTCCCGAAACCCTTCCTAGGCCCTAAACCCCCAACTCGAAAAACCCTAAACCCGAAATCCACGAGTTTCAAGCTTCAAGGAAGACTCGCGGGTGTTCTTGGCGCTTGGGCTTTGGCGTTCTGGTGTGTTGCTTTTTGGGGTTTAGTGCTTCAGGGTTTTTGGGGTGTAAGGGTTTGGGTTTAGGGGCTTAGGGTTCTTGGATCTTCGGCTTTTCGAGTCAAAAAGGGTTTAGGGTCTAGGGTTTAGGGCTAAGAGGTTTAGGGTTAGGGTTTAGGGGTTTAGGGGCTAGGGTTCAGGGCTTAGGGGTTTAGGGGTAGGGGTTCAGGGTTTAGGGTTTAGGGTTAGCGCTTAGGACTTTAGGGTTTAAGGTTTAAGGGTTTAGGGTTAGGGTTTAGGGGTTTAGGGTTTAAGGCTTAGGGGTTCAGGGCTTAGGGTGTAAAGACCCCGGGAGCTTTGTTGAAGGGACGCACGCAAGGGAATGCTATCGGAATAGGCACAAAACATGCACATCCCAAAACCCTCGCTGTAAAAGCCTGCAGCCCTACACCATGAACACTTGACGGGTGAAATCTGACATATCACGGAAGTGGCTGATGACATTCGGAGCCAGCAGAAGTTTCGGCATCTCGCCAAAGAGTTGCAAGGCCAACTGCCACTGCACTCGCCTCTCCGAAGCACAGGCACTGATGGTCGCCTCGATTTGGGTGGCAGCGATATTCCTACGTTGATGAGGGAACCCCCAACAATAGTAGTATTGTTGTTGTTAGTCTTAGTATTACTATTCATGTTCTTATTTCTATTTTTATTATTATCATTGTTGTTGCTATTTTATTATCATCCAGGAGCCCTAGGGATCTTTGTTTCAGGCTGCCGTTTGTAGAGGGGTCTGCGTCGTCTGAGGGTTCTTGTTAATCCATTCGGCAAATCATGGACGTTTCAGTTGCAAGTACATGAGGATTCGGATAAAAAGTAGGTTTTGTGGCATAGGGAAGTTTTCCTTTGGCATCCTACAAGTGAAGGCTCGGTCTCTGGATTGCGACACGCCACGCTGTAGCTGATGACATCGGGAGTCAGCTTGGCTCCCAACATCCCTCCGAAGAGCTGCAGAGCAAGCTGCCACCTCGGCAGGAACGCGACACACCAAAGCTACAATTCATGGCTTAAGGTCTTACTTGCACTGAAACATAGGCCCTCTTTGCCTAAATCCTAAGTGGGGATTCATGGTTAGGGCTGAGTTTAGTGTTTGAGCTTCTTCGAAGGTGGAGGGCTTTCGCCATTCTAGGCTGTAGGTTCCGGCACCTGAGATTGGTAGTGAGGTTTGGGGGTTGGTCCTTGGGGTATGGCCTGCAGTTTAGAGGTTGCCAAGTTGGGGATCTAGAGTTCTAACCCCCGAAAGGCAACCTGTATCCCCAAACCCTGCGAAATAGCGTAAGTTACGACCCCTTCATCATGGGGTCTAACCATGAAAACAGTAGGTTTTGGGATCTTACAGAAAATACCGCAAAGCAAGGATGCCTCCGGAAGTTTACGCTTCATGGCGTTTTGGGAGTCACAAGGGCCCTCAGCGGGGTACTTGATAAGGGTCTAATAAGGCCTACTTAAGGAAGCACAGTACCCTTCTCCCCTCTCCCTTACTCCCTTACGGGTCCCTGTGAATGCAACACTAAACGCTAAATCCTACGATCTCAAGCTGAGGTGCTGTCCAGCTTTCTGGCAGGCGCTAATGGTGGCGCTGTAGCTCGGGACATCCGGAGCGATGAGGGCTCCTTGCATCTCCTCAAACCTTCGTTCGGGGTTTGAGTTTGATCTCTAAACCCTAAACCCTAAAACCCTAAAACCCTAAACCCTAAACCCTAAACCCTAAAACCCTAAACCCTAAAACCCTAAACCCAAAACCCTAAAGCCTGAACCCTAAACCGTTTGCATTGGGCAAGAAAGGGCTTCAGGGTTTTAGAGCTACAGTACTTGGAGGCCCAGGGGACTTCTTAAGTAGGTTATCTGTAGGGTTTAGGGTTTAGGGTTTAGGGTTTAGGGTTTAGGGTTATATGTAGGGTTATAAGTACCCTAAATGCAGTTACCCCAATTATAACCCTACTTGTAACCGACTTACTAAGTTTCCTGGGCCTCTAAGTAGGGCTTACAGTAGAAGCCAGAAAGTTGGAACATCATCATCCTCATGCCCTTAAGGTAAAGCATAGGGAATCCCAGCACGAATCCCCCTAAATTCATGTTCCAACTTTCCGGGGTTCACCGTAGGGTTTAAGGCTTCGTGGGTTTTTATGTTTCTTTATTTAAACATTGTCTTGCCATGGTACCCAAAGAGACCAATCTGCCCGTTAAACGAGGAATATCCTCCTAATTGAAGCTTGGTTCCTTCATTAACGGATACTGGGGCGCCCTGCATCTTGTCAAACCTTGAACCCAAATTTCACACCCGCAACCCCTGAACCGTAAACCCTCAACCCCTAAACCCTACATACTCCCGGAAAGTTTGTAGCGGAAACGAACTGAGCCGTTCCTTCAGTAGGGTGCCAGGCCCTCAAACCAGTCTTTATGGTGAGGCCAAGCATTACTAAACCCTAAACCCTATACCCTAAACCCCATCAGTCATACACTCAGCCTAAGGTTCCCAAACTGTAAACACTAAACAATCTGGGCAGTTCTCAAAATCAGGATCCCCTTTAGGGTCCTTGTTATAGGAGTGCCGTGCTATGTTGGGAACCTAAAGAGACCCTAATGTAGAGAACTACCCATATAAAGATTGAACGTGCTGAAACAAGCCAAGCAGCAACAGCATGGCTTGCTCCCAGTTCCGTCCCTTCTCGCAGGCGCTGATTGTGGCGCTGTAGCCTGGGCATGGTGTCTTCGATTGTTTTCGGAGGCTGCACAGAAAACTCCCTAGTACGTCTTCACCTACTGGGGGCTGAGCAGGCTGGGAGGGCCCCTATACCCTAAACCATGACGTGGCAGTACTCAGGAGTCGAGGCTTGCTGCTCAAGCCTTGCAGCAGCTCGTTACCTCAAGTTTATGCTCTAAACCCCCAGACCTTTAAAGCCTAAACCCTAAAAACGCAATAAGCCCTACCTCACCCCTGTACCCTACCTTGAAGCTCTAAACCCCGGCCTGCAAGACGAGAGCCTCCAACCGTCTTCTCCGAACACAAAGAACCCAGATCTCTGCTGCTCTTCAAGTAAACCTCCTTGCTGAGGAGCCCGCAACAAGCTGAATCACTGAAGGGCTGCGACGTATGAAACACGAGACGATACTCCAAGCAAGCTTTCCCTAAGGGTCCCTGTGCCCAAATAGTATACACGTTGGCCTTAATGTAGTCCCTATATAGGTACTTTAGGGCCAATGTTCTACTATTTGGGTACATGGACCCTTAGGGTTTTGAAGCTTGAACCCTAACCTTAAACTCTGTCCCTAAACTCCTAAAGCCCTAAACCCCGACTGTCAGCAGAATCGATCCCCGACACGGGACTCAGAGGTTCATGGTTTGCTTTCAGTGCAGGTACTGTCTGTAAGCGAATTGCTGCAGCCCGTTATCCGCTACTTGTGGATATTTATAATCTATGTGCGTATGTATTCATATGCACCTGCATATCTTATATACACACATAAAGACTAACAAGCTCGGTATGGCACCATGTTGTTAATGCAAAGAGCAGGACCTGATTACGACGGCTTTGATAGGTTTGGGGAGCAGATACAGTGCCAAGACATGGACCGAGCTGAATCCTGCAAACCGTCATGGAAACCTTAACTGATCCTCATGAACTCTTAAGCCCTTAATCCCACACACCCGTCTAGAATCCTCACAATGACTCTACGCTTCGCAAATCATGTGCTAAGACCCTTACAAACCCCCGAACCCCTAACACATCTACTCCAAGTTGGTTTCCCCTACAAGCCCTTGACCCTCCAAAACAACTCAGTCAAGTTGCTGATGATGTTGGGAGCTAGTTTCGCATCCGGCATGGAGCGAAACAAGTCGAGGGCGCCTTAGGAAACTTCCCCGCAAGGAGCCCTGAAAAGGAAGCCCTTGAAAGAAACCTTTATAAAGGAAGCCCTCATAAAGGCGCCCTGACTTTAACCCTTAAACGCTGTTGGCTCCGTGGTTCCGGGATGTATCGATTTCGATCCCAGGGTTAAGGTTTTCTGGGATGGGGGGGAGTTGTGTGAGTTAGGGGTGGGTGTAGGGTTTCCAATCCTACAAAATCTCTATAAAGAATTTCTGCCGCAGGTCTGTAGTTGATGCTCAAAATGCCACACTACCTGATGCATTCCAAGATAGACGACTTATGGTGTATCCCTGTTGTGGATCGCGCAGGAATCGACAACAGGTGTGCGGTGCTGGCTTCAGGGCTTAAGGTTGGGTTCAAATTACCCTAAACCCTAAACTCTAAACCCTAAACCCAAGGGTTCAGGGGTTGGGGGGTCGGCTGGTTGTAGGGCGTTGCCCAACCCGGCTCCTCAAAGCCTGAACCGAGAGCGAGTTCGGGTTAAACACTGCCTTGTACAAAAAAGGGCCCAACAAAAACTCAAACCTTCTAAGATGGAGTGAATGTATATAAGGGCAAAAAGCTTAAAGCTCTGTGCCCTCTTTTCCTTGCGTTCGCCGTCAAAGTGCCCTCCCAGAATTTCGCACCCGCGCAGGCGCCCAGCCCGATGGAAAAGTGGCGCAACTCCTTTGGCACAGTTCCATCAGAGCTTCATAAGGTTTTATAGGGTTCTATAAGAGCTTTATAAGGCTTTGTAGGGCTCTGTACGAGCTTCGCAGCTTAAGTGCTGAATTCGCTCCAGGGCTCAGGGATTAAAGGGCTCGTAAAAGCCCGGGATTGATTTGCTGTACTGAAAAGTTCATGAGGAGTTACTATAATTAGTGTTACAAATAGGATGACATGGTTAAACTGCCAGCCAAGGCAAGTATAACTCCAGCTCTACATGTAGCTACCCAACCCTACACCCTACCCTAACCCCTAAGCCCTAATGTGTTTTTCAGTCATGCCCTAGTCCGTCCATACAGCCTGACTAACGTCGTTCATCCTAAACCCTAAACCCCACACTTACACCCTACTTCTAGCTGCCCATGAAACCTTGAAGTCGAAGTCCAACTTTAGCTTCATGATGGCTCAGTATCCATCAATGCACTCAGAAGCCTTTCTAAAAGTTGGCTAGTTTTGGACCGTAAAGTAGGACATCTCAGGAAAACATAGAGTGAAGGTCCCAATTAGTTAAGGTCCTAGCTGAGTCCCAAGCAGTTTATTGCCAAAGTTACTTTACATAGGGCAGCTTTGAAAGTGAAGTAGGTACTGTAGTGCTGGAGGGGATTCATTCAGCGCGTACAAGCACGCCCGCACTTGTAGAAAAAAAGGGGTTCCACCTACTCCAGTAGATGATACTTAAGCCCAGAAGCTAACCGAACCGGAAACACCCTAAACCCTGAAGCCCCCAAAGCCCGCAAGACTCAGACATGGATCTATAAGATTTACTGGACCCTACAACAACGAATGCCCCCCTATTGTTTCGGAACCTCAAACAAAGCAAATCATAAACCCTAAACCCTGAAAACCCTTATAAACCCTAAACCCTAAACCCTAAACCCTGAAAACCCTTATAAACCCTAAACCGTAAACCCCACACCCTATTCCTAAACCCCACAGGGTTTCCGTGTATGTCATGGTTTAGGGTTTAGGGTTTAGGGTTTAGGGTTTAGGGTTTAGGGTTTAGGGTTTTCATACTACAAACAGGAGGCGTAAGGAATATTGAATAGTGTTGGTAAGTACTCCCTAGAGAGACTCTGTGAAATCCGTATGAAGCCCTTACGAAACCCGCACAAAAAAACCCAAAGCCCGGGTAGCCATAGACCCTACACCCCAAACCCTCCCCTAGATCATAAACGTCGTAACCCCTGAAGACCCTCCAAATGCTGAGCCGGGATCGAGATTGACTCTTCCACTGAGCCTCACAGCATGGATCAGCTGGCAAGCCGCCCTTGCCTGCTTCTTCCTGACTTTCCACGGCGGTTCGGGGGGTCATTGTTCACAGGCTCCAATGCGGTTTTTGCTGAGGTCGTTGGTTTACAGCTTAGGGGTCAATAGCTAAAGCCTACTGGCCCACTGTAAACGCTGAAACCACCTAACTATAAACCTTTAACAATTTCAACCGATACACCCTGAACCGCTGAACCCTAAACCCTAAACCCAAACCCAACACCCCTCAACCGCTCCCAGTGTCTTCTTCAAGCTCTGCAAGACCTGTGTCAGGGCATTTCGCGTCGGTGTTGGTAGAAGGAGCTCATCCTCGGTTGAGGGTTTAGGGTTTCGGATTTAGGGCTTCGGGTTTAGGCCTTCGGGCTCAGCGTCGAGGGGCTCAAACCCGGAGGGGACCCCCTCGCCGCCCCGCCTTCCTCCACTTTTTGGTTTTGCCTTACCTGCGAGAAGACAAGGTGCCAAGATGTCTCCTCTCCTAAGGAAAATCTGGCGAACATAGAGACGAACTTTCACCCCGAACCCGAGGTTGTGAAAAGTGAGGCTTTGAGGCAGGTGCGAACTATGCGCTATGTGGGCTCGTAGGACCGATGTCCTTCACGGATGCTGGATGTCGGTGAAGTATGCTTTGTCTAGGTTTCCCAGGAGCCCCTTCATAGTAAGGGCACCTTTTTTCGACCTTTTTGGCTTTGATACGGCAACCCAAAAAGAAAAAGGGCAGAAGGATACTACGCTGGCATCTAGTTCTAATTCTCATATCCCAATAACGCCACCCAACATCTAAACTCAGCAGTATTCCTGACCTCTAAACCCCAAACGCCCAAACCTTAATCCTAAACCCCAAACCCTAAACCCCAACTCCTCAACCCTAGAGTCGCGGCCGCCCTAAGGAACAATATTTGGTAATCAATCATTTCGGCTTCTATCGTATACCCCTGCAAGAATCCTACATCAGACAGCTGGACTCCAAATTCTCGGATGCGTGGTCTTGTGGGTTCAGAGGTTTAGGGTTTGGGGTTCAGAGGTTTGGGGTTTAGGGTTTGGGGTTTAGGGTTTGGGGTTTAGGGTTTTGGGTTCAGAGGTTTGGGGTTTCATGTGCTTAAGACTTGTATGTTCAGGGCTTCGGATCTGCAGCCAAGCATCGACAGACGACGTGTGAGCTTGCCTTCCCTGCATCAGGTGGCTCCTCATTCGTGACCGGCTTGACGTCGAAGGCCTACCCAGGCAACCGAACAGGATTTAGATTTGTTTTTTGTTTAACGCCTTTTTCCGTCAGCAATCCGGGGTTTAGGGCTTAGGGCCTCTTGTTGAGACGCTATTGGGCTAAACCCTATAAGCCCTAAACCACATTAAGGTTTAGACTATGATCGTAAACAGAAGCCCTTCGCAAGGGCATGCCCCAAACATTGAAGCAAAAAACATGAAGTTCAAGTAGGACAAGCTATCGGCCGCATTAAATGCACATCCTGCTCTTCGGAACTGCACATCCTGCTCTTCGGATTCAATCTCCTGGGATCCCGCTGAGGATTTTAATTCAGCACAGAATAGGGAATAGGGGTACATGCATAAACAAATATACACGCATGAACATGTACACATCAATTATTCTGCATAGACACGCATTTACATGTGTAATGAACGAGGCCCTTCTCATCTTCTGGCAGATTCTGGCAGGTAAACCTAGGTTCCTGAACAAGGTCCCGGATTCTGAATCTTCATCCTAGGCTGAGGACGTTACAAAGAGCACCATGACTATTTTAAACAACGTAAACGCGTAAACGCGTTTACGCGCTTTTGCGCGCTTTTGCGCGCTTATTTTCATACCGTTACTAACAACGATTCGATACTTCGTATAGAATCTAAAATTGTTGCTTCAATACGGCAGCCAGGATCTAGAGACCCTTCAACCGTTGCCACCGGCCTTTCAATCGAGACCATCTGGCTCCCAATAGTGGGTACTTAGGCTATCATAGAAGGCAGCTGAGGGGTTTAGGCACACCACAAATCTCATGGCACACTTTATCTACAAACCGAAACCCTAAACCCTGCAGCCAGCCTGCACCACATCTCAAAAGAGACATAACAGCATGAGAACCGTGCAAAACAAGAAACCGACCATCAGATCCTAATGGCAGCAACGCGATTAACAAAAAGTGATCGAGACCCACCACCAAACGGAATAAAGGGTCTGGTGGGTTATATATCCCCCTAAGGTCTATGCCAAGTTTCATGCTTTTGAATCTCTCCCCACCCTAAACCCTAAGTGCTAAATGCCGCTGTAACAAAGCGTACACCCAGATCTTCCAATATCGATCGCTTCAGTGAGGAACATACTTTAAATCATATGAGGGATCCCTAACTTCCCTAAGTCGAAGATATTGGAAGCATATGGATACAAGAAACCCTAAACCGTTCTGGATATCTCGTAGAATCCGTATAAACCCCTCAAGGTAACGCCTAGAGTGGGTGGGCCTCCATACGGATTTCTATATACCAGAGACTCACCCTAACGCATAAGCCCTAAACCGTGAAACCCGAAACCCAAAAAACCCTCAAACCCTAAACCCTTGAAGCCCAAAACCCTAAAACCCTAAACCACAAAACCCTTAAACCCTTAAGCCCTAAACCCGGAAACCCTAAACCCCAAACCCTAAACCCTTAAATCCTAAACCCCAAAACCCGTAAGCCCCTAAACCCCACAAAACCGGCAGGCCTTCAACCCAAAACCCTCAAACCCTTAAACCCTCAAACCTTAAAACCTGAAACCCCTAAAACCCAAAACTCTCAAACCTAAAACCCTGAAACCCCTAAAACCCACAAAACCGGCAGGCCTTCAACCCAAAACCCTCAAACCCTTAAACCCTTAAACCCCTAAAACCCACAAAACCGCCAGGCCTTCCAGTTCGAGCCTGGCTGAAGGATCCCCCGTGCGAGGAGGCGCGGAAGCAGCGACCCAGCATGGGTTCCATGAAGAGTTAGGGTCCCATCCTTCCTTTAGGGTTTAGGGTTTAGGGTTTAGGGTTTAGGGTTGAGGGTTAAGGGTTAAGGGTTTAGGGTTTAGGGTTCAAGGGCTCCTCTACCGGAATTGCAAGAAGGGTTCCATCCTTCCTTGAAGGCCCCTAGCCTGAGTACCATAAGGGTTTAGGGCTTGAGGTTTAGGGCTCTACCGGAACTACCGGAAGGGCTAAATATTATGTGCTCGGGAAGATTGGGAATTCGACAACTCCGTACTCAGGTTTTAGGGCTTAGGGTTTAGGGGTTAGGGTTTGGATGCCTTTGAGATAGCCCTAAACCCTGAGCCCTAAAGGCAGGTTCTTCCGATGCAGGGGCCGTTGTGAGTTGCACTTTCGTGAAGAGCCGGGCTTCTTCCCAGAGATCCCAAGACCCCGCAATCAAGGAATACACGTTAACTTATAGGGTGCTTCAAATTTCGATTTAAAGTACATTCGATCCCAGTACCAAGGAATATACCTTAACTTATCATAGGGGGCTTCATATTTCGATTTTAAGTACATTCCTTAGTTGAGGGGTATTGGGATCTCAGGGAGACCGTCCCAAGGGGCTTTAGGGCTTAGAGCTTTAGTAGGGGTTTTTTGGCTTCAGGAAGCAAGCAAAACGAAATCAGAAGAGAGAAATGGATTTTGGCGTTTGGGCTTTCAGGTGTTTAGCAGTATGGGCCGAGGTGCACCCTTAAGGTAGGAACATATATATCTACCTTCAACTGCCCATGAACCTGCACGAAGGGTTGAGAGAACGAACCGCTTACCTCCAGCCTCTAAAACTGCGAAGTGGCAAACCCTGAACCCTCATCCGCTATCAGAAGAACGAAACCGCTCACCCACAGCTGTGACAATGTAAAGGTCTGAAGCCTAAACCCCCTAAACCACGATTACGAGAAGCAGTAAACTAAAACAACAAGGCACCTGGTAAGTAACCCTACACCCTAAGCCCAAGTAGTAGACTTTCATTCACTTTGCCCTACTCTCCCTCTCGCTTGAAACTCTGGTTATAATCTATTCCCTAGGGTCTCTGAGCTTTCAAACAGACTTGTCTGATTCTAATATGGGGAGCCGGAATAATTTTTGTCTCAGTATAATACTATTCCTTCGGTTTCTTGATGGTACTAATACCACACTTTACCCCGAAGCATCACCAAACTTGGATAGCGCTCCGCAAAACCGCGGAATTAGGGCTCGCCAGGTTCGCACTATTGAGACCTTCTTTTAGACAACTCGGAAAGTGACGAGGATCCCGAAGAGAAGCAAACAGAAGGGGACCTGGATTAGGCTTTAGGGCTTGTGGTTAGCGATGTATACTTCCCCAGGACTCCGACAAAAGGACTCGGTAACTTAAGTACCCACCCTTGTGATGCTGCCTTAAGTCAGTGGGTGAAGCAGCCTCCAGACTCTTTGGTTTGGACTTTCAGGTTTGAGGATGGGCGTTTTGCAGGTCTACAGCTTGCATCGTTACCCTTGAGGCGTTACGGCTCTGAACGTTTTTGGTAGAGCCAAGAGTTCAGGGGTGCAGATCCCTTGCTGGCGCCAGCTCTTTGTCTTGCGGACGGACCCAGCTCATCAACGCAAACTTCTCGGACACAATGGTGCATGCATCGGCTGCCACAAAGGACCCAGGCTAAATGGGCACTGCCTATGTCGATCAATTTCAACTTAAGCTCTGCTCCACCGTGGTTTAGCCATGGTCGGCAGAATTCCGGATTCTTTAGGTACCCATAGGGTACCCATAGTAGTTCCTGTTTGGCGTTTACCTTATAGGATTCTAAATATGAACCCCCAAAAGGAACTACTATGGGGCCTATGGGTAGTTGGATCGGGCTTCAGCGCCTCGGACCCAACAGCGCAGTGCGAACTAATTCTCGGGCTCGGACGTGTGCATACTCATGCCGGAACTCTCATGTCCCGTCTCACAGAAACTGACTGCTCCTTAAGCTGCCGAGTTCATAGGCGGAAAGCAACCAAGTCTTAGTTGTAACGGGGGGTTTATATCATCCCAACAAATCCAAACTTCACTATCTTTTGCTACCAAGGCGCCGCTATAGAGCATGACATGTGGCTGAAGATGCGAGCTGAGCATGGAGCAGAAGAGCTTGAAAGCCTTCTCCGGTTGCCCGCCCTCCTCGCAAGAGGCGATGGCTGCTCCGTAGCTGATAACATCCGGAGTAAGTTGTTCCTCACTCGCCGAGGTCAGAAGCCAAAGCGAGGTTGAACGTTCAGTGTTTAGGGTCTAGGCTTGAGGGTTTAGGGTTGGTCTGTCATCCCAACAAGCCTAAAAAGCTCGCTAAAGCGGCCATGAAGTGGCTCGAGGCAATGCATCAAAAAGCTCAAGTGCGAGCTGCCACTGAGCTCCTTTCTCGCAGGAGCTAATTGTGGCAGAATAGCTGATCAGATCCGGCACCAGTCCTGTTTAGGGTTTTAGGGTTTAGGGTTTAGGGTTTAGGGCTGTCTTCTTCAATCAACCCTCCCCCCCACACCAAGAGTTCACTTCTTTAGTACTAGGCCCTAGGCCCAACAAAAACAGCTCAAGCTATGCAAGGAGCTCGAACTTTCTTCAGAAAAAGGACAAGTTGAGAAAGCCCTAAACCCGCTCGCTAGCTCGGCAAGAATCTGGCTTCCGGAAAGGAGCTCAAGAGAAGCAAAGCTTGCTGCCACTGCCCACCTTTCTCGCAGCTGCTGATTGTGGCATTGTAGCAGATCCTTGGTTCAGAGTTTAGGGTTTAAAGTATTTTAGGGTTTAGGGTTTAGGGTTTAGGTTTAAGGTATTTTAGGGTTTAGGGCTTAGGATTTAAGGAATTTTAAGGTTTAGGGTTTAAGGTATAGGGTTGGCCACGTGAGCCCTTCGAAATACATTCATGAATACATGCCAGCCCGATACTGCAAGTCCCGATAAAAAAGGGCTTCGCATGGGCAGTTCTCTAAATTAGGGTCCCCTTCTAGATCCCCAGGGACCCTAATTTTAGAGAAGTCCCCCCCCTTATGGTACCCAAAAAGGCCTAAACACTAAACCCTAAACCCGAAACCCTAAACCCTAAACCCTGGCTTCCAGAAACCATGGCCATGGTGTCCAGGATCACGTTTGGGCGAAGCTTTTCCTCAGACAAAGACCCGAAGAGTTGCAATGCCAGCTGCCAGCGCGTGCCCTTCTCCTTACCATGTTTAGGGTTTAGGGGTTTAGGGTTTGGGGTTTAGGGGTTTAGGACGGTTTAGGGTTTAGGGTTTAGGGTTTAGGGTTTCTAGGGAGTAGGGCTGTCAGTTCGTTTAGTAACATTGAAGAACTACTAAATAATGGTCAGTTTTTGTAATAATCAAGGGGCTATAGTAACGCACAAAAATTAAAGGCTACGTACTTTACTACTAAGTCTCACAGGAGCTGATGGCCGCACCGTAACCTTAGTTTCCGAGCTCACAAGGCGACAATACCTTGCACTGACTTACACTTTCAGCTTAAGGGTGCTATAGTGCACCAAAGAGTTCGGAACCCTAAACCCTAAACCCTAAACTTACCACCTCAGCCACTAAGGAGCTGATCACATCGGGGGACAGCTCCGACATGCGCATGCTGTCGAACAGTTGCAAAGCCAACGGCCAGTTTCCTCCCTTTTCACCTGAACCCAGCGATATTGGACTACTAGGGGTTTAGGGTTTAGGGTTTTTTGTGTAATACTGCTACAGATTTGCCTCGAAAAGACATTTGACAACTTCGATTCCAAAAGTGCCACCTAGTGACAGGAGCTGATTGTCGCGCTGTAACTCACCACATCGGGGCTGAGTTCTGCCTGCAATAAGCTCTGGAAGAGGGCCACAGACAGCTGCCAGGCTCCCACCTGGAGGGTTATAGAATAGAAGGGCTCCATGCATACAACCATGTATGTATGTGTATACGTGTATGTATATATATATATGTATATATACCACATAGACAGATACATAGATAAGTAGGTAGACAGGTAGGTAGATAGACGACAGATAGACGGAGAGACAGACAGATAGACAGTCAGATAGATAGATACACAGATGCACAGACAGGTAGATAGATATGTATGCAAGCAAATAAAAGCACACAAACACGAAGACAAACAAACATACAAACAAACAAACAAACAAACAAACAAACAAACAAACAAACAAACAAACAAACACACAAGCAACTAACTAACTAACTAACTGACTGACTGGCTGACTGACTGACTGACTGACTGACTGACTGACTGACTAACCAACTAACCAACTAACCAACTAACTCAATGAAAAAGTAACATAGAGCAAACAGTGTATATATATATACACATACATACACACAAGTGTAAAGATATACAGCTCTCCCTCCCTCTCTCCCCCTCTGTATGTATATATATATATATATCTATATATATATATATAGATATATATGGTAACCCCCCCC